GAGATAGAATGGTGTATTCTAAGCGTTGTAATAATTAAGGATGAAAAAAAAAAAAACGTAAAAAATAAAAAAGGTATGAAACATACGACTGCACTGGAGCGACTCGAGCGAATCGCGAAAAATTGGCCGACTTTATATCTCGTTTTTCCACTTTATTTAACTCTTCCGGGCTTCAGGCGTTGACACGCGATATTTTATAAATATTTAACAGATTAGAATTAAATTGGATAAAGTAACAAATGAGAATAAAAAAAGAGTGCAAATCACGATGGCAACCGATTAAAGGTTATCGGCTGATTCATAAATCGTGTAGCGAAACGAAGTTTTGCAAGCTGGAGAGCGAGATGACGGCGTCACAATGATCCTCGAAGAGTTAACTTACATTTGGTGATTTCGAATTCGCTCAGGTCGACCGATAGGGTTAAGATGTACTTGGTTACTATATCGACGACTAGAAAAAATAAAAACGTCGGAAAAAGCTCGGAGCGGATGTTTCGTGCAGACGCAACGGGTTCGAAGACCGGTCGTTTCCAAAGAGCCGCCAGGCGGTGTTTGAAACGTTTAAAACACACCTAGACTTAAAAAAAGAAGAAAAAGAATTAATTAGAAAGGTAGAAATAGTTAATAAAAGCAAGAAGACGACTTCACTTAAGGCATGTGTAAAAGACACGCGAACCCTTGCAAGCTCGCGTAAGAAAATAACTATTCGAGAATAATATATTATCTTATCGGATAATATATTATACCCTTATATGAAAGATAATTTATTATATTAAATAACGTATTATTATATAAACGGCGATGAAACGTTGCACCATGTTGATCAGCAATAAAGAAAATTAGACGAGAACAAGAGAAAAAGAAGAATCCAGCGTTGCCTGTATTGCCCGCGGTAAATACGAAATGAAAAATGTGAATTGCGAGACGTAGACGAGTTAAAAATTGAAAAAAAAGAAGAAAGGGGGCATCGAAGTGAAAATAATGAGATAACGAATGAAACGGATGAAAGTGCAATGTTTTATTGTTAAACTCGACTCGCGCGATGCACGGAACGCGCCACACGAGCGGAAAACACTTTGAGAAAAAATGTCTTCATACTATTTGCATATTGCTTTATTGTTATACGAACATTGTAACGATACATTATGATTAAAAGTAAAGGAATATTAACCCGGCGGTATCCATCGATTCTACCGGCGGTTTTAAGCCGTGTCCAAGAAATTACTGTGTGTATTTTGCCGAAATATTTTTCACGCGAAGATACGAGGCTTGACTTTTGTCTCTCAACACTTTCACACTGTCGACTGTTCACACATTCTTCTCCATTCTGGTATTCAAATAATCTTTAAAATCTGTTTACCGATCGTCTTCTTTTAACGAAGCTGCAAGATTTAAAATTTTATGTATGAAAACGTACTTTCACTTTGAATTTTTAAACTTATATTTGAATAAAAAAGTTTTAAAAATACGCAGGGAGTCGATACTGTAAGAACGACTTCTGAAAAATTAATTTTATTTGAATGAAGAAATAAAAGTCAGAAGAAGGATATATGCAGAGTGTGAGAAGTACGAACCTCGTGAACCTTCGTCAGGAATTCCCTCAAATGACTGCACTGGTTATGCCCACGCATAGAAATTTGCCGCTTCCCCGAGAGGACTCGCTTTAAAACCGCCAGTACGTAATTCTAGCTATTACGCGAGATACGTTCACATATTTACAAAGGTGGAGCATTTTAATTCATAGGTAAAAACGGAAACGTTTTACTTTCCCTTCTTTTTCTACGTACTTTGTATATTCCCAGAATAACCATCCATTTAGAACGACGGTATGTAATTATGGACTAAAAAAAAAAAAAAAAAAAAAGAATTATTACGACTAAAACACGTTCATTTTACTGTTAATCAACCAGATTTTATTGAATCGAACGCGTTGATGTAAACGACGACTAATTTGTCGTCGTTAAACGTAATGATCTTCGTAACGATGTGACTCAATTTAGTTTTCCGGACTTAACCAACCCCCTGTTCTTGTTCAGATGCGTATGCACGCGTGCATACAAATGGAATCACGCGTACTATGAACGAGACAAGAAAAAATGATCTCAACAGGAAAATAGCCGCCTCAAACTTTCGAATGCTTTTTCACTCCGATTTCTTCCGTTAATTTTCTACTACATTCTAGATTCTAAAGGAGTTTCTCTTTAGATTCTAAACGAGAAATTTCCTTTCTCGATCAACGAAATAGAATTTGTATCTTTTATTCGTAAGTAATCATTGTCCATGATCTTTGACTGTATTTTTCGTTTTATTTAATATTTCCTATTTCTTTTCTTCTTCCTTCTTCTTTTTATATTTTTCGTGCGATAGAATACGCGTTTTGAGAGATGCCGAAGACTGGTAATAAATACAAAATCGAGTCGCATCGTTTCATCGACATTATTATCGTCGTAAAGATAACGTATAGTAAAACCTCGCAAATCTGTCGACGTTGGTGAAGCAATCAACCGGTTTCTTAGAGACTATAGAGAGGCAAGGGATTGCGCCAATAGAGAAGTACAAATTATTAAATGGAGAGAGAGAGAGAGAGAGAGAGAGAGAGAGAGAGAGAGAGCGCGTGAGAGAAGAACAGTAAAAATGCGAAATAAAATCAATCATTCGAGAATGAGATAATTGTGACCAATAACGAGTGAGGTGTAACGTCTGATTGTTTAGTTTCATCGCTTTTTATTCATTACCTTTGATTATATTATTGCTTGTAATAATTCATTCGAGATACCTTGAATACAAAAAAGTAATAAACAATGTTAGCCCGTCTCTTGTCTTTCTTATCCTACTCCCAATGATTTATACCATATTAGCAGAATATGAAGAAGCACGCGAAAATCCTGCGAAAAGCTGTTGGCTGAATACGACAAATCTCCAAAAAAATGTTTAACATTCTTTCCTTAAATACATATATATGTATATACATACGTGTATATGTATATATGCGTATGCATCATATATCAAATTACAAGTCAACTATATGTATGTTTACATCCTTCATGCAATAATCTCATAACTCCTTACGATAATCTTCTTCCCCTAAAATCCATATTTCAATGATATTTACAAATATACATCCCTACAAGTTGTTGTATATAAATCATCGAATATATGAGAAGAAAATTTCCTGGAAAGAATAAGTAAGGAGCCACAGCACGGAAAATTGGGGAGGAAGAGCCAACCAAACACAAGAAGCATGGCTATACGGTTATCCGAATATTACCTATATATTATAGTATATTGTTCTGTTTTTTGTATTGCATTATATTTTATGTACTTGTTGCAATATAGGATTGTAGGACTATACCATGTACATTACATATCCGAAAGACATTGAACAATGTACGGATGTGTGGTGCGATAAATATACTAACAATATGAATTAATAAAAGGTAAAAATATTTATTACTTATCTTTGTTGTACAAATTCTACTTTATTCAAATGCTTCCTTAGATCATCTGCGAGACCACTGAAACAAACGGATTTATTGCGATAACAAACCTTCAAATGTATGCTTTAACGTGATGTATTTCACACTTTGATTAAAGTTCAGATACTCGCACGTATTCGGTAAGTTCCTGAAATAAAATTTTGATGAATATCCTGTTGGAATTTATCGGATTAATTTCATACGAGATAATACTTACCACGATATAGTATCAGTAAATAGTAAGTGAGCAAAGAAACTTTGCTACATTACGGAATTTATTTGTATCTAAACGGCATATTGTATGATACGAATTGTGAGAAATTTTCTCAAATGATGTGACATACATTTTATTGATCGCACAAAACCGACAAGACAAAAATCTAAAGAATTTTTATGTTCTCATTTCTACACGACAATCTAAAAGCGCCTGACAGAGTTCACTTTATTGTCCAGGTTATAGTTTTTCATTAATTTGTCTGCACATTATTCAAAATCAAAATTCAAAATCGTGAATGTTAAATATATCGTTCTCCTATGCGCAGTTAAGTTTGTCTCTGTATTATCTACTATCGTGTTTTCTTTCCCTTTTGCCCCTAACATCTGAATTTAATATTTATTTACCTAATTCCTCATCTCTATCTTCATCATTAATATATTCTGCATTAAACTTAATACATTTAGTATGTCTTGAGGAAAGATGTTCTTGAAGAAAGGATGTCTCTTCGTCTAACGTTACCGACTGAGTAAATTAATCTACGATATCAAGCTCCTCGGAAACTGCTTCATGACGTTAGCGATTCGAGACTGTTCTCTCTGACTACTGAGAGACTAATTTACTCTACTGCTACGACTGCTTGGAGCTCTAAAAAGCTCGCACGAGAATGACATTGCTGAATTCGATGTCTAGCAAGTCTCAAAACGAAAGTGCCTGATCAGAATGTTCGTGCGTTACACATTGTTTACTACCCTGATCTTTGGCGAGAAAAGTGCGAGTAATGCTACCAAGAATATACAAATAAAAAGAAGATCAAAAAGGGAACGCCCAACAGATCTCACAAAGGACATAACCTAACAAACAAACACTCACCACACTAAAGAAATAAATCAATCAAATTCGAAGATGGTATTCCACTAGGGGTAGCCATCCACATGTTATATTATTATACCACTAAGCTATAATATTTTACCAAATGTCCTACTGGACAAATTGTAAAATGTAAATAAATAAATAAAAAAAAAAAAAGAATATACAGGGTCTGTACAAGTTCTAGTGATACCCGAACGAACTTCGATTAGGATTGCAAGTCAATATAACTATTATGACTCAGCTATTGAGAACACGATAAACATGGAAAATTAAAAGCGTTGACTTAGAAATAGCCTTTTAATTACGGAAATGTGCGCCATAAAATGATTTCTATCATCAAATTCTCACAGCTGTTTGCTCTTTCGAACGAAAAGATAGCTGTGTTAATGACCCTCCAGTCATCACTTGGCCTCTTACTTCATGCCCTATGAACTTACCACATTAGCAGTTTCGTCTCCATTGTACTTTCGTATCCATCGAATGTATGTACGCGTATATGTGTACACGTATGTGTGTGGGTGTATGTATGTATCTGTACGTTACAGATCAGCCACATTCACTTGCGAAAAATGTGAAACAATTGAATCAGTATGTTGAGTATCTATGAGTTCTCTCGTCCTGTTGGTGTACAAGTATGTAGGTTGGCTATTTCGTTGGGAGAATCATTTGATTAAATACTTACAAGAGGGAGTCACAGTTGTGGAAATCGCATTTGAAATGGCACTATGTGCCAGCTGTAGTTAACATTAACAAACCACTACACAGTATCATTCAACAACTGTTTAAATCTGAAATACTTTCCTAGAACATGGAAAACTGCAAATCTCTCCCCATGAATCCTCTGCAGGAAGATGATCTTATAGGATGATCGTGCTATTTGTTTATTACCTGAAAATAAGCAGAGTATTCTAAGCCACAATTCCACCAAAATAAATTGAAACCAATAAGCTCATTATGTAACTAATCTACCATAAGCACAACATAATCCTCGAAACTCGGCACAGCTTCAAGCACAACACAGTTTACATTTAACATTTGTTGGGCAAACAATATAAATCAATGCTTCGGGCAGTACTAATTGACCTGGACATAGTATCAGATATTGCGTGAGATGGTGGCCTTGTCTACAGATGGCAAAAAACAAATACGATAAAACAAATATAATAAATATCCATCAAACTCACAAAGTCTCGAGGTAAATGAAGTCACGAGCAAAGGTTGATACAAAATATGTTAACAAAAGCGATCTACACGACAAAGCTAATATCATAAGAATTGACCTCCTCATACTGAAAATAATTAGAAACCACCGGACCAAAGTAAGAGACATCGAAGATAACAGTTTAATGTTTAGTTCCACCTACCCTTAATACTTCGAAATTACAAAATAAACTGGATACACCTCGATCGAAAAATTCGTACATTTAGAGGCGCAAGGTCTGATTCAAGATTCAGAAAATATGCTTATAATTTACCATCACAATCGAAAACTACAAGACAAAAGAATACTTCACGAACTGAACAACTATTCTGTTCGACTTCAGACATTGGTTATTGCGACAATTATAGGAAGAATACCAACCTTTATTGATGATTGACCTAAACCACAGGCGACAAGCAATGTACTCAATAGAATTATGTATGCTCTGCGCATAAATACATATTATACAACTGTATATGGCAATTACTATATATGTAGACTAACATAATAAGTATATGTGTGTATTACTATAGTTTGTATGTCTTTGATAGTATTTAGCCTTAGTTATTGATATATTTATATTAGTATTGATTTATATATAGTTGATTATATTCTTTGATTAGATTTGATTATAATTTTTAATTATTGATAATATTTAGTCCTAATTCGTCTTTGTCTTAGCTTCAAATCTCGATAGAATACTACATATTGTAAACTATTTGATTGCCCAGAAAGTTCCAAAGAGTTGCAAGAAAGTTGCCAAGAAAGGTTGTGGAACAAACTGCCATCTATATAATTCAATGAATGTATATTGAATCGAAATGTAAATCGGAACGAACTTTCCGGACAACCCAATAGTAATAGTATAACGTTATGGTAGTTTCTTAGAAAGCTGCTAGTTCGGATTCGAATCCAGCAGAAGTTTGCATTTTATCTATTTTTTTTTATCATTTAATAATATATGTACACTTGAGGCGATTAGGATAATATGTTAGGTTATAAATGCATTTTCAAGTTTGAAATTTGTGTAAAATAACATATAATATGTGGTATATCATATGTAATATGTAATACAGTATATAATGTTTATAAATATATATAATACGTAATATATAATATTTCCATGGTAAGATTTGTAAAAAAGAGAAACGAAAGAAAACAAAAAAAGTAGAAAAATAAATGAGAATTAGTAAACCTTCTGCCGGATTTGAACTCGGACAAGCCGCGTAGTAAATACGTATTGTAGCATTATAGCTACAGTACGTTTTGAGGTATATGTGTCATATATCTGAGTTACTCGGTCCATATAAAGTTTAAGCCAAGATATTTAAAAAACGAAAATCCATTTTAAGAAAACCTATAAGGCTTTTGTAACACTATACGCGTACTACAACTTTCACGTAGTCCCGTTTGTAGAGCGATTTTCACACTTGTATTTTCCCCTTGTTACCCGTCGCTATCCCGCCACCACGACTGCGAGTAGATTGTGCAGAAACTGTAGTTCACGTGCTTGTAGTTACGAAGTCAGGAGTATAAAGTGCCATATTGCTATGATAAGAAAGATTATTCCACACCCTAATACGAGACCCTTGAATCATTGTTTGATGTAAGCGGTCGATCAGTGCGTAACAGGAAAAATGGCGGTTAGTTTGCCTGTCAATCTGGCCGGCCACTGACAATAATGTAAGAAGTGGGTATTGCTCTACGCCCACATGCCTATTGAATGCCGATAAGAACATAGTGGATTTCTTGTTAAGCACCGCATGTGCCGCGCACAGTCACCATGAGTATTTTAAGAAAAAGGTAATTATATTAGGAAATCTTAGTTGATTTGAAAAATTTTCAGTTATATATGCTTGTTTCTTTTTTAGATTATATGAATTCGATGATGCACTAAACGCTGAAGAAATAGATCTCATTAATCTCAAACGATTATGCTTCCATGGTATGTGTTTTATATATGTGTATATATATATATATATATCTTTTAATCTTCTTTGTGTGTCACAGTGGATGTTGTAATAAATGGATAGATTAGAAAAGCTTACTAATTGATGGTCAATTATTTATAGGAATACCGGATGAAGGAGGTTTGAGACCTCTATGCTGGAAACTTTTATTAAATTATCTACCTTCAACAAGAGCCAGTTGGTCAGAAACGCTTATTCGTAAAAGAACACTTTATAAAACGTTTATTGGTACAGTTTGTTTCTCTTATTTGATTTACAGTTGAAGATCACATGGAAAAATATGATAAGTTAATACCAAACTCAGATGGAAAGATAGTTCTGATGTGAATTTAATTAACAGCGTATTGAATTTTATTGTTCTTCTATAAAAGATAAATATATATATATAATATATAAATAAAATGTAACTCATGATGTTTTTCACCTGTGATTTTCGATCATAAAGGTATAAATAATGAAATAGTCAGTAATGAAATTGGCATTGCAGAGGATCTCATTGTCACGCCAGGTGAAGCAAATAGTGATGGAGAAAGAGTAGATGTTACACTTCACGATCATCCATTAAATTTAAATCCTGATAGTAAGTGGCAAACCTACTTTAAGGATAATGAAGTTCTTCTACAAATAGACAAAGATGTTAGGTATGTTTTTGACCATATGATGTAACAGTTTCTTATGTGTTAGAAATATAATGAATTATATTTGTAGGAGATTATGTCCAGATATATCGTTCTTCCAACAAGGCACCGATTATCCACGTAAAGAGATTGTAAATGCTAATGGACAGAGACGTTTACATCATAGAGTGCAACATACAGTTTTAAGAAGTGCAAATGTAGAGAGAAAGGGACTGGGTATCACTAAGGTATTTCATATTTAATGATACTATAAATAAAAATTGGTATTAATGTTGATTCTTATGCTTTATTGCGGATGGAAAGCAGCAGGTAACGCCGTTTAACTACTTCAATTTCATATCTTAAATTAGTGTTGTGAAAAAACTTCATTTGTTTACCTATAGATAGCAGTATCTATTAGAAAAGCTACAGAAGATTATGCACCACTAGCGGAAGGTGGTGAAGCTCATTGGGAAGTTTTAGAAAGGATACTCTTTCTGTATGCCAAATTAAATCCAGGACAAGGATATGTACAGGGTATGAATGAAATTGTTGGACCTATATATCACGCATTTGCTTGTGATCCTGACCAAAACTGGAGAGGTAATCATTGAAAAATACACTTTTAAATTCTTTATATTTCACATTTACATATTTCTTATAGAACATGCAGAAGCAGATACATTTTTTTGCTTCACCAATCTGATGAGTGAGATCCGTGACTTCTTTATAAAATCACTGGATGAAGCTGAGTTTGGAATAAATTCGATGATGGGTAAGCTCACAACTCAAGTCAAAGTTAATGATCCTGAAGTTTGGATGCGTTTGCATCAACAAGAATTATGTCCACAATACTATAGCTTCAGGTAAGCTAATAGAAATAATTTTCTTTTTTTAGAAATTATTATTTTTATAAATAAAAATTATCCTCTCTCTAGATGGCTAACGCTTCTTCTCTCACAAGAATTTCCATTACCCGATGTCATGAGAATTTGGGATTCTCTTTTTGCTGACGAGAATAGATTCAGTTTTTTGATACATATTTGCTGTGCCATGATTTTGTAAGTATCTTTTGTTGCAATAAATTTTAGTTCCAAATATGAATATAATTTAAGCATGTGAAAATTTTCAGACTCTTGAGGGACCAATTACTTGCTGGAGACTTTGCTACAAATGTTAAACTTTTACAAGTAAGTTATATTTCCTTTATACCACATAGAAAATTAAAACTGAATGTACGTATACCTTTTGCATTTAAACGAAAAAATTATTTTCAGTAAGATATCCTTCGAAATATTATTGAATTTAATGTAGTAATGTTTATTCTGATTTTGTTTTAGAATTTTCCTTCGGTTGACATCCAAATAGTACTTTCTAAGGCAGCTGCATTGGCAGGCAAAAGTCTGAACTCATCGTAACGTGTAATAGTGCTGTTTCGTAAAGAATTGAAAGTATAAACGAATCGTTTGGAATGGAGTGCTTAAACATCCTTCAAAGGTATATATTCCTAACGCTGTTATACCCTTTGTTTCTTCTTATTTCTCTCATTTTCTCATTTCTACAATGCAAATTATGATCTTACACATAGGCCTGAGCATCCTTACGCGAACAACTTATCAGAACTAAAAGAGTCGTTCTAAATGGTTCGCATAGATATATACATATATAGATATAACGTAAATATCGTATTACGTGTAAGAATCGTTGAAAACTAAAATGATTTTAAACAACGTTTTATACTCCCAAAATATAAAAATTTTTCCATTTGTATGTATCTGGGAGGGCGGGATTGGTAGAATCTGAATTTGGCTCTCTGTTTCTTTATTAATCGAAATAAAGAGACTCATTTAACCCTTAACAAGAAATGAAGTGAGTTGTAAACTCAATGATTCTTATCGCATTTCTGCAGATATATTTAGTTATTTGTTATTGATAAGATTTATACTTAAGTATTTTTTCTTTATTTTTCTTCCTAGAAAATTGATTGCACTTTAGCATGTTTAAATTTACATAAATAAGTGAGTTTAAATATTTTATGTAAATTAAATATTAAAAAGATGTTTCATTTAAAAATTTTAAGTTACATTATCGCCATTAATCTTGTTATTATTATTTTTTTTTTTTTTTGATTGAATGATTCGATTAAGATATATACATATAAATAGCAATAAAAGAAAGGAGCAAGTTTACTTTTAAAAAGTAGACATTTTGAATAAAAAGTACTTTTGTTAAGGGTTAAGAAAAACATAATAACTGTGCTGTGAATGAAAAATTCAGCCATCTAATCTTTGTTATGCCCAAAAAAAAAAAAACGGAAAGAACAAATGTTTGGATATTCAAAAAAGCATTTATTAGTAAGTTGAGATTTCATAAAAATTTCTTAACGAAAAAAGTGTGAAAGGTAATCTAGTAGTTATTGAATAATTACAAGAGCGCAGAAAGAAAATAAAAGATGTGCGAATGCGTCTGTAATACTGGCTGATTCGACATACATTTTGTAATCATTAAACACTAATATTATTATCGTTTGTACGCGCAATAATTACGTACTGTGTTTAAGTGAAATATTATATTTTGTAATCTTATTTTTGTAATGACCTGCGTCGTTTGTTCTGCGTTTATAAAATAAAAAAATGTTATATTTGCATAAATTGTTTTCTTTACAATTCTATATATATTCTATAACCCACCTTTTCTGTCTGTTTATCTCAAACTTTGAAGTTTTGCGATTTCTTTTATTTATTAACTTGCGAATGTTTTACCATTTAAGCATTACTTTCGACGTTATCGACTGAATATAGAATAAGATTGCACCGCCAGCAGTGGTTGAAGTAGGAACTAATAGGTAGTTAAGTGAAGTAGGATAAGCAATAAATAAAATGAATTGAAACTAGTGAAAAAATTAATTAAGAACACATGGAATTTTAAGCAAAATTGTATAAAAAAATATCCGCGAAATAACTATCGAAAATTCTGAAAATTGACATCAAATTCCAAGAATTATCGACACATTGTTGCCATCTTCAAGATTGTATACTCCCTATCTCTTTAAAATTTTTCGCTTTTAAATTTTCTTGGAAAATGATACCATTTCCAGGAATTTCAGAAGGTTTCGAATACTTTTTATGCTCTTTTATTCTCTTAATATTCACCAATTTCATCAATTCATTTTTTATAACTTATTCCTTAGACTAATGGAAGTTAAAAAGGATTTGAGGATTGTGGATGTTGGTGGGATTTTAAACAATTAAATGCTTCGTCAATTTGCAGTAACCGTATAATTGTACAATAAATTCATTATTTTCTGTACAATAATTTGTGTAATTATGTAATTCTGCAATGATTTGATCCTGCTGTTTGATCGATAGAGCCAAATTAACTCTTTTTTTTTTATTTATTGGGGAGATTTAAAGTTTATTGAGTCCAAGAATACAGTTTTAGGTACATATTCACAATAAACGGTGAAACCAAATCAACTCCTGTCATGCGAAAATGATCAAAAACTTGTATGCTCGTACGGCGCAGGGTTTTGCCGCTCATTTTCTTATCACCGCTACGAACCTGGTTTCGGCCAACTTCGTACGGCGTCGTCAATATTCGGCGGTGTTCGAATGATGCTGATTGGTTCGCTATGTACAAATATTCCACGAATTTGAAAAGATTCATTCAAACACATATTAATATTAATTTATTGTTACAGATAGCTGCTAATATTTGTTACTCTATGATAAACTATTAGGATGGCTGTGGTTTCACTTTATTAAAATAAATGCATACTTTGTAAAGGAAATGAAGGATTTAACAAAAAAAGATTGTAAATACTATATATAAGATTATAAGTAAGAATATAATAAGAAATTAAGACTAAAAATATTTTAATAAGTTTAATGTCATGAAGTGGAAAAAGATGAAGATGGAAGTAAAGCTAGATATGTAACAATCAAACTTCACGAATCTACAATGCAAAATTCGATTTCTATATTATTTAATACAATTTATATATAAATCAATAATTTTGAAATTTCCAATTTCTTTATCACGAGTAAAAATGTTATTTTAGTATCATGATTCCTATACATATCTAAAATTTATAAATATCCACATGGATCGCAAAAATATTCCATCATATTTAAAAATAGATCAAACTTCATAGATGAAGGCTCGACAAAATTGAACCAACGATTCAAGACTTGTCTACCATCTTGAAATCCTCGTCTTCGATCTTTCACCACCATAAGATTCTATTCGAAAGAACGGGTCCTGGTTTCGTTGGAGAGTGGTCGAACCGGTTGTTCCAAGGCATGCCTTCAACTTCGGACAACCTATCCTGGAAATTCCCGTGCTGTTGCATTCATACGAACGTTAAACAAGATAAAGAGGTGCTCCAATATCTGTGCCCTCATAGGCGGAGCCAAATGATCGAATCCCCAATGACCTCTAGCTCGCGGTTCATGGATATATTATCAAACTCGAAACATAAAACGCGGATATAAATTAACGTGGACAGTCTTATTACAAACTCCGGATCGAATCTAGCTTTATATTATACATACCTATATAATAGAAATCGTACTATATGTTATGTACATATTTATACCTATATATATAGGATATCCTAACCTAAATAATAATTTCGTACACGTTTTCTCAAGAGAGCATATGAACATGTTATTAGTTTCATACATGATCCATCTCATTTATCTAACAAATAACTCATTTATCTCATTTCTTTTATAAAAATATATCCTATCTTTCATCAAGCAACCCAGATACGTGTATTCTTACAGTTTTCAAATAATTTCTGTAACGTGTTTCGCAAGAAACGAATTTATTGCTCAGGTTAATTTGTACGATGGAATAGATATTCAAGATTTTTTTCTTTTTTATTTATTTATAAAAATTACAATCAATTCTCGCGTTGAGAATTTTCAGTAATTTTTCTGGCGTGGCGCAGTGACATGGCTGATTATTTATATGTCGGGTTATCATTAGGAGTTATCATTAGGATTTAAGGCGCGGTCGGGTTATCATTAGGATTTAAGGCGCGTAATGATTCTTCGTTTGAATTAGCCATCGTTTTACGAAACAGAGAATATATTTACGCGAATAAATAAGATTTTACAAAATATTATGAATAATGAGTTTAATAAATAATAAGATTAACAAACGATAAGTTTAACTAATAATTAGATTAAAGAATAGTAAGTTTAACGAACAATAAGAGGAACGAATAATATGACTTACGAATAATAAATTTAACGAATAATGAGATTAACGATTGATAGGTTTTACGAATAATGAATTTAATTAACGCTATTAACAATGTTCCGGGGTTCAAACGAATCCACGGTCAACGGGATAACTCTTTACTATGCGTAGAATAATTTTAAACACAAAAATACGAT